ACACATTACATCGGGAAATAGAAGCAGATATGAAAAGGATGAATGACAACTGGAAAGTACTGTACAGGACAGGGTTGGGTGGAGAGTGATGATGAGCGGCCTATGCTCCTCTGTGAGGGTTAACAGGCATAAGTATCCAGTCGACCACCAGAGAAAATAAAAAGAACAAGAGTAAGAAGCCCTTTCTGACTCCGGTCCTCACTTGTAGTTGATCTATCAGATGTCTCATATTTCCTTCTCTTACGGTTTTTTCCGTTGTCACTTCTTGGTCTTCCACGTAGTTCTGCTTGTCGACTCCAATGCTTCTCTTCACTTGCTTATTTGCTTCTGCGTATTCAGCTTGTGCTTTGATTGCCTCTGCTCTTGTTCGGTCGCTGTTAATTGCTTTCTTTTAGTTCTTGCTTTCTTGAATCTTGTCCAGGGTTGCCATGGCGATCTATTCCTTATGATGATGCTTCTTGCGGCCCAGTACTTCCTAACACGTTGAATGTACATAAATTTGCGAATATCTCATTATTCCCGTTTTTCTCTCCCAGTTCATGTCATTTCATGATATATTCTTACCCGATGATGTCCATCCCGACTTTTGACGTTTAGGTCTCCCATCAAAATGGTCAGGTCCTTTCTGAGTACTTCGCTGCGATCGATTGCAGCCTCTCGTAAAACTGATTTTTATCGTCGTCGATGGTATCATTGGTTGATGCATTAATTTGGCTAAAATTAATTGTGATTCCTTTTTTCTTTTTTTAGAACAATGATTTGATGATACTGGGTCCATGAAATTCCCATCCCTAAAGTGTGTTTCGTGCTTCTTTGGACTGCATCAGTGCAACTCCCTGCGTGTGAGGAGTATTTTCTCCCTCGTGACCAGAGTAAAGTAGCACCTCTCTCTTGAATGTAATCTTTTCTGTGCAGCTTGGGTCCAATAGGTTTCAGCGATTCCGATCACCGACAAGTTGTATACTAATAAAAATTTGTTGAACTTCATCAACGAAGATGAAAATTATCCTGAACACTACTACGGTTAATGTATGAATGACCAGATAGTGATATCATTAACATCTGGTAGGAAACGTTAGGATTATTTGTGCTTAGAAGATTTGGAAATTTGAAAGATTAAGCCTCTAGTTACAATCACATGTTATTATCCTTAGATGAATGCTGATATACTTCCAGTACAAGTCGATTGTTGAATTTGTGTTGTTAAGATCAGAAATAAAACTTGCTAATGGATAATATTGATTAACTTTATGCTAGGAAAAGCAACATAACAATGCTAACAACCGTGGATCATCTTAAATAAACATTATGCTCGTATTGTAATAGATTCAATTTTCAAGTGACCAGTGTTTTAGATGACCTCTACAAACAAAAGATATACAGAACAAGAATACCATGAATGACTCAGAAAAAGTTTCTAAACCTCTAGTTGCTAACCAAAAAATACGGTTGTCTTTATAATAAGCTCGGGAAGATTGAATGGCCAAATAAAATAGCAGACGTCCTAGTGAAAAAGTTTAAAATTACATTAGATTATAAAATGTAAAGAATGTTTGATAAAAATAACAATCACAACGAAAATTTACTTTGATAAAAATAAAAAATTATAGCACAACAAAGGACAGTCATGCCATAATATAAAAGCCCACTCAACTATTGTATTATTTGTCTGCTCACTGAAATTTACACACTTAATCCACTATGTAAAATTATGTGTGAGTCTGATTGAGCGCTTGTCTGCACATCAATCTTTAATCTATTCTCCCATTGGATGTAATAAATAGGCAATCAATAATTTATCCACAACGTATTAACATTCAAAAATGCATATGGGTTTTTAATACATACATACACAGACATACACACTCTAACTCGTTTCCTTGTATGGTAGATTTCTTTAAGAATAAAATATCTTTACAACTGATGTTCAGACTTTTGAAAAATCTCCAGGAAATCCATGATTATACTAAAAGATATAAACAGCGCTAAATACTTAGTGAACGGGATACCATTTATTGAACTCAGATACAGAGAAAATAAGCCTATAAAAAAATAATATTTTAGGAATCACTTCCAACAAATAAATAAACAACATACCCAAGCCTATACTTGACAATTCATAAAACTAAATAAAGAAAATTCATTTATTCAACTACTATTTATACACCACATATTTCCTACGCGCAAAATTTATAAATAAATCACAAACTGTAAAATAATCTAACGCAACAAGGTAATCATTCACATGAAATTGGAGAAAGTATATGATTTCAGGTGAAACGTTGATAGAATCTATGAACAAAACTTTAAGAGCGTGTAGGCTACTTGGTGAAATATAATCAAATATTTTCGAGAAGAACAAATCATAGCCATTTCAACAGATAACAAAATTATGATTCAATGACGATTTGTATCATTAGTGAGTAATTTTAGAAGGGTGAAGTAGCACTGAAAAGCTATATTCATATTACTTCATAATTTATTTACAGAGTACAGGTTCAATTACACAGTTTTGAGCGACTGTGTTTACTTGAGGGCTAGTGATAATACACAAATTGACCAATGGAAGTACATAGAGTGAGGATCGAATTTTTGACCAACTGATAGAAAGCTGAGTGCTTTAACCGATAGCCAATCGCTCCACATTCATAATACTACAACATACAACTAACACTGGGAACTGTTAACCATGGTAGAAAAGACCTATATACTAGTTGAATTTACAATCACTGTAATGGCTTATAAATAGACTTGGCATTAAGTGCATATACAGAATAGATAATAACCTTTACACCTAAGTATCTTGATTATTGCCACTCATCAAGAAAGAGGGTCTGCAAATCATAAAGAAACCGATTTTAACCTGTAATATTCAGTAAGCATTACCATTTAGCTATCCAAGTATTGGATAATCCCCAAAACAAGATATCTAAACACTGATCGATTTATTTTATTTAATAAACATAAAAATCTGGTACAACTAGGCACCGAAAAACGTATGCGCCACATACATAGATACACAACAATGTGAAGAAATAAAGGATACAGACCAATTAAATACAGTCATAGATAACTTTTTGAGAAAGATAACTTCATTTTTACGACGACCATAAAGGAAAATTACGGCAGAGTTACCACGGTCTTCTGTCCACAACAACGATTGATAACATTACAAGCAAAGATGGATAGTGGCTAGCAGTGGAATCCAGGACGCGCGTTTCATCCTGTTTGGGACTCGTCAGCTGGATGTACCTGCATCTCAGAGTTGATGTTCACGCTGGGACTCGAACTCAGTACCATTTGCTTCAAACGCCATCGCGTTATCCACTTAGCTACTGAGTCTCAGAGTGAACACCAACTCTGAGATGCAGGTATATCCAGCTGATGAGTCCCAAACAGGATGAAACGCGCGTCCTGGATTCCACTGCTAGCCACTATCCATCTTTGCTTATAATGCTTGTAAATTAAGGCAATATCGAGGCATACGCACAGTATGCACATATGCCAATAAGAGACTGATCAATTTCAGTCCAAAAACATCAATGGGAAGATTCAAGTAAAACAATATCAAGTGAATTAACGATTGATAACGTTTTAAACCACTGAATTGCATCATCTCTAAGGTCAATTGAGAAAAGTGGTTGTATGCCTGAGTTGTTCGTGTACAAACCCTTCAATACATAATAAACTTTTCATGGACACTCTCAGTCGATAAAGATTCATTACGTTGTCAATCGATTTGTCACCCTTACTCATGCTCTGTGTCTAACTTTAGTACTGCTAACTCGATGGTCCGAAAATACACGAGCAATGTTTCGAGGACATCTATGAACGAATCTAATAACCTACGAGTGTCCTCTATTTTTAAATAGCACGTTTCACAGCCATAAAACAGAATAGATAGAACTGTTGAGCTGTCAGTCAGCTACAACGTAGGATCAGGAACACATATCCATCGGTTCAATTCGCCATACATCATTAGCCCAACAAGATGAACACCAAATTCATAGAAGTAGTTAATTCAGTGGTGGTAATATATTAAAGATTGAATATAAGGACACAGTACAGGAAGAAACAATTCGTTCGTAGAATGAAAGATATAGAGCGATTTTAATCTCATAGATTAAGGGAAGACAAATAGTGTATAAACCTAAGCCATTGTGATCGATCCAGATGCATGTCAGTAAGAGTCTCCAACCATTGGTTACGATAGTCGGGCGGACCTCAACCAAGTACTCTGCATCTACCAACATGGCTCAGACCACAAATTATTTGTTGAGCTGTAAACTCGTCATTAATTCAAAAGCCAATCTGTGTCGAGATTCAGTCAGACACTTACCAAATCTATATAACTACATATCCCTTAGATCAGTAGTCAATAATTCATAATTTCATTTACAAGAAATGTAATGCAATTCACTTAAAGAGTACAGATATTTATGTACTGAGATGACGGACCACGGATGAACTTGAGGAAGCTGTAGGAGGCTTAGAAGGAGCCGAAGATATTCCATCTAGTCACCTTTTGGTAGAGTATTCTAGAATTCCTGCGTGTAGCTTCCTGATTGGACAACACTAATAACCCTCTGTATGAGGACCGGTGGACTGTAATGATGATTTCGTTCTTACTTCAAACTATAAATACCTGACAATTGTGTATTATAATTGACACTGTTGGAATAATATTCCTTTCATTAGTCTTCTGTCTTCTTATTGCGACTTGGAAGGGTTTTGGTGTTCTAGTGCTCAGTTATACGCGGTATATCAAGAAAACAAACTTCAAGATATAACATGTACTCAGCTTTGAGTTGAAGTTTAATTTTATGAGGGTTGGTAACACTGCCTGCCTGACTATTCAAAACCGAATTACGTAGAATAGATTAGAACTGGCAATCTAATGGTTGAAGGTTGATGAATTGTATGGGAAAAATAAAATGGCTATGAAAATTGTAAACATAACGATCACATAACTACATCCATGCATACTGTGAAGAACGTACCTGCCTTCGAAATTCAGCAATCTTCTCCTCCAAAACATGATGCTGTTTGATTAACCTTCGAGCTTGAGAGAAAAATGCAGCCGGTGTGGTGATTAGGATACCTAGCTGTTTTGTTTTTTCAAGGTAAGAATTTGTGAATAAACAACAAAAATAATCACTCTGAAATAAAATTGGTGGCAAAGAATAATTAGAAGTAAAATTATTCAAAATATTTAGTAACGTATTTGAAACCTTGCGCTTCTAGCTCCCTATCTAGATTATCAGATTATCTTAATCTTACATTTGTGATACTGTTAATTGCTGTTGACCCCTATTACAATCAAATGTAAATGTATTTAACGTACTTACTAAGTCTTCGGTTTACTTTTTATTTCGTTATATTTTCGTTGAAATTCTCTTTCACACACTACTTTCTATATTCCCTCAGTAAACAATGTACCTTCAGGCTGGATTCAAACCTACTTAATGCTGAACGTTACAATATGACATTTTGAAAGACATGTGTAATAGCGAACTTTAGTTCCTATGATTATTATTATTATTATTGTCGCATTTAGATGTACCACGACCTCATGAATGACACTATGAAGCCATAGGGTAGGTGAAAGCAAAAGTTCAAACAAATGCAAAAATCTATAAAAATGTTGTTCTTAAGTGCATCCACGAGCATTATCATTCAAGGCTACTAAGATAGAGAATGAGATCAAACTTTTGAAAATCTTAGAACCCAAATGTATAATTATTGCAGCAAAGTTTTCCGATTTCATATGTATTTTTCTAAGTACCCACGTTAAGTGAATAAGTTACTCATGTGCTTTGACAAAGAGGACACAACACGACGCTAAACAGTAAATAATCCAACTATATATATATATATATATAATGAGACGAGAATGTTTTATAGGGATAGCATTGATGGAAAACATTTGTCATTAATCATGAATGTTATATAATCATTGACGTTAAACGCTTCTTACTATAATAAAATAGAAAAAATATATTTGTAAAGTCGCAACAACAACAACTACTACATCTTAATGAAAAAGATAATCGCAAGGATACTGGTAATATGATTGGCGAATACCATTCAAATACATAGAAAATGAAGAACATCAAATAAAATAATATTAATGAAACATGATTTTTTTATGATGTGTGGGCGAGAATGATAATGATTGGTTGTCTGCTTAGTCAGACATGCAGACAGTCTGACAGGTGTCACATGAATCATATATTCTTCTATCATCATAGTGATTATTATTGATTGCTCATTGCTGTTGGATTGTGTCGGGTTTTGGTGTGGGAATATATTTACGTTCTAGTCAGGCTAGTCACGTGTTCTTGATCTGAGTTGTGTTGAAGTCCTGTAGAACAGACACTGGGAGGGAATCTAGTATAGATATTCGTCTAAGGTAAATTAACGTCCCATACGTGTAAACGTGGAAAACCAACCGTTATATTAATTTACCATTACTGCATAACATAATTATGCAATGAACGGTATATACACAGACTACTATGGCATAAGAGAGTCAATCATAAGTAGAGAACATAAATTCAAGTAAAATGGGTTAACCGACATTTAGTCTGAATCATCAAATAAAATCATTTGCACAGAATGAATGCAACCAATTCATTTCAGTATCGATGACAAGTCTAACTATTCGCTAACGATCTAAAATAGGATTTGTCTTTAAGTACGGTTTCACCCACGGACCTCCCAATCAATGTTAGCCCACCAACAATTGAAGAAATCAGCATGGCCATCAGACAAATCAAGAGTGGCAAGGCAGCAGGACCGGACAACATCCCAGCAGAGGCACTAAAAGCAGACGTAGCGGCAACTGCAAGGATACTCCACATTCTCTTCAATAAGATTTGGGATGAGGAACAAGTACCAACAGACTGGAAAGAAGGACTTCTGATCAAAATACCGAAGAAAGGCGATCTCAGCAAGTGTGATAACTACAGGGGCATCATTCTTCTCTCAATACCGGGAAAAGTCTTCAACAGGGTATTGTTAAACAGGATGAAGGACTGCGTAGACGCCCAACTTCATGACCAACAGGCAGGATTCCGTAAGGATAGATCGTGTACAGACCGAATCGCAACTCTACGGATCATCGTGGAACAATCAATTGAATGGAATTCATCACTCTACATCAACTTCATTGACTACGAAAAGGCATTTGATAGCGTGGACAGAACAACACTATGGAAACTTCTTCGACATTACGGCGTGCCTCAGAAGATAGTCAATATCATACAGAACTCATATGATGGATTACACTGCAAAATTGTGCATGGAGGACAGTTGACAAAGTCGTTCGAAGTGAAGACCGGTGTTAGGCAAGGTTGCCTACTCTCAACCTTTCTCTTCCTCCTGGTGATCGACTGGATCATGAAGACGTCAACGTCTGAAGGGAAGCGCGGGATACAATGGACATCTAAGATGCAGTTGCATGATCTAGACTTCGCAGACGATCTGGCCCTTCTATCCCAAACGCAACAACAGATGCAGGAGAAGACGAACAGTGTGGCAGCAGCCTCAGCAGCAGTAGGTCTCGATATACACAAAGGGAAAAGCAGGATTCTCCGATACAACACAGAATGCACCAATCCAATCACAATTGACGGAGAAGATTTGGAAGATGTAAAAACCTTTACGTATTTGGGCAGCATCATTGACGAACAGGGTGGATCTGATGCAGATGTGAAGGCGCGGATCGGCAAAGCAAGAGCAGCATATTTACAACTGAGGAACATCTGGAACTCAAAGCAACTGTCAACCAACATCAAGGTCGGGATTTTCAATACAAATGTCAATACAGTTCCACTGTATGGGGCAGAAACCTGGAGAACTACGAAAGCCATCATCCAGAAAATACAAGTGTTTATTAACAGTTGTCTACGCAAAATACTTCAGATCCGTTGGCCGGACACTATTAGCAACAACGTACTGTGGGAGAGAACAAACCAGATCCCAGCGGAGGAAGAAATCAGGAAGAAGCGCTGGAAGTGGATAGGACACACATTGAGGAAAGCACCCAACTGCGTTACAAGACAAGCCCTCACATGGAATCCTCAAAGCCAGAGGAAAGGAGGAAGACCAAAGAACACATTACGCCGGGAAATGGAGATAGACATGAGAAGAATGAACAAGAATTGGATAGAACTAGAAAAGAAGGCCCAGGAAAGAGTGGGTTGGAGAATGCTGGTTGGCGGCCTATGCTCCATCGGGAGTAACAGGCGGAAAAAGAACGGTTTCATATAATTTACAGATTACTGTTTTCTAATAAAACTTAATGACTAGCTTCTTCAAAAAAATGTCGGTAATTGTTAATAACGGACATAAACTATTCAAATGAATGTGAAGATCAAAGAGTCACCATTCAAATTAAAAGCAAGTATATTATCATTCGAATGTATAAATAAACTTACGCGTTTTGTGAACCGATTTAATAAATCTGTCCCATCTGAATGCAATTTAGCGATAGACTGTTCCAAAAATTTTGTGTGTTTTAATAACTCAGCTTGTCGATTGTGTTCGCGTTCAAGTTCTGATTGAATTGTTGATGCGTAGGCGGGGGAATGTAGCATGGCAAAATGGTCCATAAATGCTTGTTTAGTCAATTCTAAAATCGAAAATGGATTTGTTCGGATTAAAAATAGGAAGGACTTGTATGAAATTAAAGATATGCAGTATCATAGATAGTCTCACTCGGGTATTCTTGCTGTGCAAAAAACACTCGTCAACAGCACGAGTATATATTTGGAACATTTCAATAGTAGAACTGATAAATCCAATTTGAATTATAAAACATATTTGTGTTCAAATAAATAAATATGTGTTTTTGATTCACTAGAGAACACATTTTGAAACGACTGTCAACTACATCTATGGTTTCAAGACTTGAATTGATATCTCCACGATACTTTAGCTGTATTAACAAATTACATAAAATTAAGAGGATATACGAAGTAAAGAAAAACAAGAAACCCTACTAATAACGAGAACATCAAAATGTTTAACAACGTAACAACGTTTGAAATAAATACATTAAATAGTGACAAATTTAGAGCATAAGGAAGCCTACACTTAACAATTCATAAAACTAAATATAGAAAATTCATTTATTCAACTACTATTTATACACCACATATTTCCTACGCGCAAAATTTATAAATAAATCACAAACTGTAAAATAATCTAACGCAACAAGGTAATCATTCACATGAAATTGGAGAAAGTATATGATTTCAGGTGAAACGTTGATAGAATCTATGAACAAAACTTTAAGAGCGTGTAGGCTACTTGGTGAAATATAATCAAATATTTTCGAGAAGAACAAATCATAGCCATTTCAACAGATAACAAAATTATGATTCAATGACGATTTGTATCATTAGTGAGTAATTTTAGAAGGGTGAAGTAGCACTGAAAAGCTATATTCATATTACTTCATAATTTATTTACAGAGTACAGGTTCAATTACACAGTTTTGAGCGACTGTGTTTACTTGAGGGCTAGTGATAATACACAAATTGACCGATGGAAGTACATAGAGTGAAGATCGAATTTTTGACCAACTGATAGAAAGCTGAGTGCTTTAACCGATAGCCAATCGCTTCACATTCATAATACTACAACATACAACTAACACTGGGAACTGTTAACCATGATAGGAAAGACCCCTGTCAATGGTTCAAAATTGTTCACAACGAAGCAGATGTATTCACCCCTAATCATCCTCTTGATCTTGAATTCCAGTACTCAATCATACACAACACCTCTCTGATTTTCCTTTTTGTTCTATATTCCTAATGTCCAGTCACTCCTAATATCATTCTTCCTATATTATTTTGATCTCTTTTGGTATTCATCTTACTTCACTCTCGTCGTGCTAACATTGTAACTTGGGGAAATACACACTTTCCCCAGATTGTACGTTGATGATGGCTAACTGTTGAAATTTGTGTAGACTGACAAGCCTTCAAGGAAGACATGTTTAAGTAATTGTTTACCCACTTTCCAATCCATAATTAGCAAATAATCTCACCATATATTTAACGATGATATAAATATCCTTTATCGTAACTCCATTCAGTTTTCCCTGTAGTTACGTTGACGGTAAAAAAAGTTAATACTGCACCATCAGTTTGAGTTTGAGAGTAAACAGAATAATCAGCTCCTTAGCTACCTTGATGTGGTGGTCGAGGTTGTCTATCGTGGTGAACCAATCGAGTTATACTGGTTGGAACAATAGTTCATCAAGGTCCTACCATGCCAGACAGGTCGGTTGAAGAACGGTAAGATTAAAAGCGGCAAACTAAGGTCCGAAGGCGAAGCCGTACTGCTGACTATACAAAGGTTTGACGGCAATAAGCTGTTTCCCTCAGAAAACCAGCATAACAACGATGCTGCCTTCGCACAAGGAGGGGTAGGGTTAAAAAAAGTCGACCCTAAAAGTGCACATCTCGCCTAATCCCACGGATATCCGCTCCAGCGGTAAGGTTTCAACAAGTACGGAGCTAACACGAAAATTACCCACAAAAATGTTGTGTGTAACCGACCTCGAGCAGTTATCCCTTGGACATTGCGATCACGCTTTCAGGTCACTAAGACGACCTTTAATCTAATTTCCTCTTCAGGTATCTCGAGAAGAACCCTTCCACTGTATGGACAATCGGGAAGTGATTACCGCCCCCATACCTTTAACAGCACTCAAGACAATAGATTCATTAGCAATCGATAACAAAAATGAATATTATGATGCAAATCACTATAGGACGACGTTTATTAGTAACCTTGTAGCAAGCCCTTTCAACTATTGTATCATTTGTCTACTCACTGTAATTCAGACACTTAATTCACTATGTTCATTTCTGTGTGTGTATCATTGAGCGCGTGTCTGCACATCAACCTCAATCTATTCTCCTATTGGTTGTAACATACAGATAATCAATAATTTATCCACACTTGATTGACACTCAAACATTTATATGGATTTTTAACACACACTCACACACACTCACATATACTGTCGTGGTTTCACAGTGTGCTTGCTCGCTGTACGCTTGTGGATTTTATTTATGTTTAACAACAGAAAAAGTATCTCTACAACTGGAGTAAATCCATAATTGTACTAGGAGATTAAGCCTACCTTAAATACTCAGTTAACGGGATATCATTTATTGGAGTCAGATATAGAGGAAATTAGCTTTAGCAACCTTAATAGGATAGGTGTATTAACTAACCTATAAAATCATGTAATGTAAAATCTAGAGTAATTAATAATAGAGAAAGAGATTTCAACGGTTAAATTGGGGAGAATATCTACTTACCCAAATATTGTGTAAGTGCGAACGGTACCGGTGCTTTATTATATCCTGTATGAGGATCAGACAAGTTTGAGTCACTCAATTGGGTTGCACTGCTTTCTGTATACACATCCACAGGTTGGTAATGACATGTGTATGTAGGAAATCTTTTGTCATTCAATCCAAACTGAGTTGGTGTTAGTTGGGATTGCACATGTGTTACAGTGTAATCGTGTAAAACATTCATATTGTGACTTAATTTATCAAGTGAATATCTACGTGTATATTTTAATTTGTTATTCGTTTTGCAAGAATTAGAATGCACTGATGGAGATTTATTACGGTTTCCCGAATCCATAAAGTGATTTTGCATTCGTTTTCGCAAGGCTATTGTTCGATTGTTTGAATTTTTAAAATTTGTAACATTTAATGATGATGAATCATCACTTAACATTTGTCGACATTTACGAAGTATACGACGATTAGCTACGCTATTAGGATGGTCCTTATTTATGACATCAGTATCGCATGTGTCATTGGAGTTTTCAGGATTACTTAATCTATTGGGCGTGTTATCACCATTACATGGAGGTTTGATTTTAACACTGACTGGATGGTTTTGACCACTTGGTGAATTAGATATTTTGAATTTAATACGTATATGAAAAGAATCCTCATGTTTATCTGTAAGAAAAAAAAGTGAAAAATAAAACTGGTCACAAGTTACTAACCGATATGGTGTTTAAACCTCTAAAGCCTATCAAAAATTGATAGGCCGAATTAACCGCATACGTGGTTAGTGTGATATTTACAGTTATTTTCTTAAAATTATTAAATATTTAGCTTAGATCTTATGCTTTGATTAAACTGAAACCCACGCAGCAATTCAGCTTAAACATGACTAAATGTTCATTCTTCTATGAGTTGTTTGTAAACTTGCTCAGATGCTTTGATCGAAAGAGATATATATCCTATTGTGAACCAACACTATTTGGAGAAACATTAGAAACAGGTGGACAGTGAATGAGTAAAACATCTGGAACTTCTAAGTTAGTCAGTTGAAAAGTACATCATGGTACGTATGTACATTGGTTCAAGTCGCCATACTCCATTAGCACAGTGCGACGAGACTGTCAAGAGAAATCGTGGAATAGTGAAGGTAGTAACAATTTCAGTGATACTAGGAAAGTGTAGGCATCGAAGATACGACTCGAAAAGAAAATATAAATTGGTGAAACAAAAACGAACTAAGCCATGAAGGATTTAGAGTCTCATAGACTTGGGGAAGAGAATGAATAGGCACACCTGAGCCATTGCAAAAGATCTTCAGCCATATCATTCAAAGTCCCTAACCATTGGTTACGATAATCACACGGATCCTAACAAGGTAGTTTGTACCTATTAATATAGCTAGGTTCAATCGTAAGTGACGCCATGGAGTGGTTCCATGTTTTGATTTGGCCGTCCCTAGCTTTCTTTCAGCCCACACTTCTAAGTAGCGCAAACCTACAATCTCATAACGAAAAACACCTTATATGTTTCATTCACTTAGTCATGAACCACACATTATAATCATTTCGCGGATCCTAACTAAGAAGTCTGGATCTAGTGATGTAGATAACCAGACATTGAGTGACTTCGTGCGCTGATATAAATATATGAATTTATATAGATTCAAGGATTATCTACTATCTGCTACAATATCGTGTTTTACAAAATAATTCATGCAAACAAATCTACGCATACCGTAATAAAATACTGTCAATTTTAATTAGTTTGCACAGATTTTCGTTGTGAAACTTAAGAGTAAAGACAAAATGATATGATAACAATAATGGTTTTCTTCCCAAATACTTCTTTTGTTATTGAACACTTGAGAAGATAAATTTAAATATTTCACGCACCTTGCTGATGATTATATACACAAAATACAGTAGGTACATAAGTGTTAATTAGTCAGGGTTTGTACAGATATTTACACAAAAATCATCCGTATCAATCCGCGAGTTGGTTACCTCCCCTTATATGGACAAACATGAATATACCTAAACACAACCAAGTATATCCAATATCAAATTGGCATCGTAAGTACCTACAATCAAAACTACACAGATAACGTATTAATAACACTAATAAGCAAGATATACAATTTACGTATCCTAGTTTCATTCAGAAACTCCAACTATCTAACATCATGTACAACAATATAAATGAGCTGTTACTGATGTGCATTGAACCGTTTATAGCTCCAAGTCGAATATTCAAAAACCACAGTTCCGTTTGTTCTTTTATTCTTATCTACTCCAAAAGACAATCTTGAAACGAAAAGTTATTTTATGATTCTGAAGGAGATATTTAGTGAAGCGGAGTGGCTGGAATTGACTATATGCTTTTAGACTAAGCTATTATTGACTGAATTCTGTAATCACTTGGGTAGCCAAGTAGGATAATGTTTGGAGATGCATTTTGAAAGAGCTCGCTTTGTGAAGTCAATATAACCTGCTCCACATGAGCAACTAAACTGATAGATGCACATTGATTTGGTCCAAAGCGGGCGCTTATCTTCAACATAACTTCTGATCAAAGGCCGACTAGAAAAGATAATGAGAAGTTCAAACGAGTAGTACGTTTCCCTCAGAGATCTTGAAAGTCTGTTTTTCAGAACTTCTGCTACAATGCCTCCTTTAAACTGAATGATCATGAAGAGAGTGTTCTTTGGTGCTGCGGACATTCCTTCACGTTGTTGTTTTGGCTTCAGATTTTTCCAATGAACCAGTGTCTGCCGTAGTTTATCAAGTTCGTTATCGTTTGTATCCTCGTTACATATGCGTCTAGCCCTCGAACAGAGAAAATAGACCAGGTTTCTCTTTTGCTTCAATGGGACCCAGCTTTGGAAATCCATGTATTGACCACACCACACATCGGTTTTTGTAGGGAACCGTCAGGTTTCATTTTAACAAAACATTTAATAAGTGGAATTCCAAATCTGACCCTAGTATCATCGAGAAATTAATTGACTGATGAGTTATCGAACGCGGCCACGATGTCGGTGACGTTGATATTTTTGTCACAAATAATAGTGTCCTCTAAGTATCTCTTGTACAGATGGAAGCCGTCAATTATTAACCATAGTACTTTCGAGATTAGCAATGAAAAAGTCAGCTGCAAGTGCGTAGAGTGGCGACCCCACAGTTACAGCAACAGTTTGTCTACACAACCCATTGTTAAATTTGGCTGGACGCCGCGAGTGCATTATATTATTATTTTATTTTTTATTTAAAAACATAAATATTGGTACAAGGGGGCATCAAATAAATATGCGCCACACAAAATGATTAGCATAACAAGATAAAAAAGAAGCTAAGGAGCGTATAACAAAACAGAAGAAGAACGATAACTCAGTGCAGTATTAGTCATAGCAATAATAATACCAATAATAATAATAATAATCGTAATGATGGGGGAAACGGAAAGGTACAATCGGAAGAATTTTTTCAATTAAGGAAGATACAACCATTTTTTATGAAGAAAGTAAAAGAAGGTTACAGCACAATCGCCACTGGCTTCTATTCTGAGCCATATCTGATAACGTCTCTAGTCACTGTGTCGCGCCATCTCTAGGACCCCAGCCAGGGAGTCGTGAAGGACCAACACAAGCCAGCCCCTTGTAGCTTTCTTTCATACCCCGACACCATGTCATACACTGACCACCTCTCCGCTTTTTCCAACCAGTTCCAGCGTCCGCAAATAATGCACGACGTGGAATTCTCTGGGACGACATTCGTAGAACATGCCCAAGCCACCGAAGTCTGTATTTCAAGATGGTGACACCAATTGCATTATCATCTCTGTGCCAGAACACACGATGCCGAACCTCTGCATTACTAACATGGTGTTGCCACTGGATGTCAGCAATCCTTCGGAGACAACGATGATCAAACACAAAGAGTCGTCTAACATCCTCAACTCGGAGAGGCCAGGTTTCACAAGCATAGAGCAAAACTGCTCTCACCGACGCGTTGTAGATCCGACCATTTACAGCCAGACCAACATCACGAAGGCGCCGAAGATGGCCCAGATTGGCATAAGCCGATCTGGCTTTCACTATACGTACATTGATCTCATCACTCACGCCACCACCAGCACTTATGCAGCCACCTAGATACACCAACTTCTCGACTATTTCTATCTGCTCACCATCCAGGGTGAGTACAGGATTAGAATCCTGCCAATCTTGTAGAAGGACTTTGCACTAAGAAGATGCAAAGCACATAACATACCTACGGACACTGATTGCCAACTGACTAAGTGCGGATTGCATAGCTTGGGCCTTTAGGATGTTAATAAACTTCTCAGGCACAGACTTATTCAATAGACAATCCCAGAGAACAGTCCTGTCCAACGAATCGAAGGCAGCCCTAATGTCAAGAAACACTACGATTGCTGGCCTTTGATAAGTATGACGGTGTTCCAACATTTGGCGGAGGGTGAAGATATGATCAATACATCCTCGACCAGAACGAAAACCAGCCTGCTCCTCGCGAGTCAATCTTTCTCGGGTTTTGAACAACCTACAGAGTATGACGGAAGCCAATAGCTTGGACGCAGTCGGAAGTAGACTTATCCCCCGATAGTTGTTACAGGAACGACGTGAACCCTTTTTAAAGATAGGGACAACTATCGACTCATTCCGTGACATTGGTACACTCTCCAGCTCCCAAACCTTTGTAAACAACGTCGTCAATTTCTTAGTCAGAAAGTCACTACCATCTTTAAAAAGGGCCGGAGGTAAGTCATCTGGGCCCGGTGATTTGTAGCGTTTCAAGAGTTGGAGTTCCTTGCGGACTCCCGCCTCATTTGGTGCATCAGTCGTCACCGGCCATGGAGGGCAGGACAGTCTGACCGATGTTGCCAGAGCACCAGACCAGTCGAACTGCCCTTCTAAGAATTCTGCCCATCGTACAAGACGTCGATGGATGCTAGTGATTGCCATCCCGTAATCCTCGCAAATTTTTTTCGATCACACCAGACTTCTTGCTGCCAGTGGCTCGGATGAGTGGAAAGAGCTTCCGGTAGTTACCAGATGCAGCTACTGCTTCCAACTCATTAGCACGCTCCGACCACCAGGCTTCTCGGTCCTTACGCAAGCTTTGCCCGATTTCATTACGTAACAGCCTTCGTTTGTGGTCAGACTCACGATCACCCGGAGTAGACCGACGGGCTTCGATGAGTTGCAAGGACCTGAAGAAGCCCAGTGCTTATAAGCGGGACGTTTCGCGAAGCCGCAAGCGGCTCTACTCGCCATTTTCATGGCGTCATGCAGTTGCAACCAATGCTCATCTATACTTTTCGGTGGAATGGTAGCTAGCCTAGAAGCTAGCTCGGTTCGATACTTACTTGCAACAGAAGTCGAAACCAACTTGCTGACATCAATCCTTTGGTGGCGATCACTTCGTTGTCCACTGAAAAGTAAGGTAAGATTGGCGCAGAACAGGGCATGACCAGAGTCCAGATAGGTACTCCAAAAGGAGCGGTAGTCTTGTACACAACCACGCCAGCGGTAGCTGATCGCGATGTGGTCAATCTGAGTCCAGGCTTGAGATGCAGAGGGAGGACGCCAGGTGGCACATCGGCGATGACTGTGCCGGAAGTTAGTGCTAGCCAGAAACAGGTTGTGGTCTGTG